TCGATAACAGAGGGAAGCCATAACACTGAAGAAGCTATAAATCGCCAGTTGGCGGATAAGGAGAGGGTCGCTGCAGCTATGGAAAATTCTAGCTTAATGCATGCGGTGAATCAGTGCTTAGCAGAGCCTACTTAGATTGTTTTCTTCAGTGCCGTTTACTATATTGGCAGACGTAGTGACCGAGAGTCGTGTTAGATCGATATTTTTAATATTAAAACTTATTGTACATATGATTTGTTCATACATAGTTTTTCGAAAATTTTTGTTGTGCTGTTTTGGGAATAAATCTGTTTAAATGTCATTTTCTTCTTGACGGTCATGTTGCTCATCAGCCATTGTGCATTATTTACTTCATTAATAGGCATTTTTCGGTTGATGATTAGAAGATTTAGATGAAATATGCCATTCGAAATGTGGAGTTATGGATGCCTACTATTCTTGTCATGCGATCATTCTCTTCAAAAGCCAAATCGAATACGAAGAAATACCTTCAACGACAAATGAAGGACGAATTTGCAGCAAAAGCCAGGGAACATTCATACAGAGCTAGATCCGCCTTCAAATTGATCGAGATGGATGATCGGTTTAACGTTCTACGACCTGGTCAGTTGAACTCCAGAGGAATTCCGATTTAATAGTCCTGTCATTACTGTAGAGGCCGAAATACTGCTGTCGTTGGTTATTTTTCGTTTAGTTTTTTGTTTTGTGCATTTATTCCTATTGGCACCATTGAGATCATAACTCCTTTTCGGTTTTTCCATTGATGTCCTCTCTAAACCATACTTTTCAGTTTAGGCATAACTGTGTTAGATGTTGGATGTGCTCCAGGATCATGGAGTCAGGTGGTTGTTGAAAGGTGTGAATTGAATAAGAAGAACTCCACTGGATATTTATTGGGACTCGATTTACAGGTAAGCCTATTTGAAGTTGCTGTATTTCTTCGCCACTTGTGAGTCGAACGGGCTTTCTGTATAAGTTTTTACTTAGTCTGCCAAGCGTCTACGATGTGAAAGTTTGCTTATTTACCACATTTCCCTATTGGCCTCGTTTTGAAAGCGAAAGTAGTAATAGTGGTGAAAAGCCTGTAGCTGTAGCTTCGGGGTCTATTTCTCCAACACAGCCATAGCAGTTGTCTTCCAATCAATGAATAGAAAGTTGACCGAAGCCTTCTAAACCTTGACCCTGGTAAGTTTCGGTTAGTTGATCCTTGTTGCACCATGATTCAATGAGCCGAGTAAGCTTTTCTTAGGTCAGAGGTGCATCTGATCTACCCATCAATAGCGCGACGCTGAGGATATATAGCCTATTGTGGTAGTACTGCGAATCCCCTTTTTTTGCTGTATTCTCTGTGGACGTGGTGAATGAAAAAACTCTACTTAATGTGCTTTCAGTTAGTACTTCCGATTCCTGGAGCTGACATCTTGTCCTCTTCCGACATTACCTCTCCTGCTGTACATAAAATAATAGCTACAAAATTGAAAGGGCGTAATGTTGATGTTGTGCTCAGTGACATGGCTCCAAACCCTACTGGTATGTTCAGTTTCTCTCAAACCATTCTTTTCGATGCTTGTCGTGCGGAGTCTTTCTCGTAACTTCCTAGCCCTCTTTTATAAACTTACTTTTTCAACTTTTTGAACACAGTTTTTCATTTTGAAAAGTCAAAAATCATTTAAACAACGCTTGTTTTGATTATTCCTCCACATTAAGTTTTTCCAAATTTTTTTTCCAGTTAGGAATCCTATGTCCTCATGGTTTCTTTCATTGGTAGTTGCACTTTTAAACACAAGTACATTCTAACTGAACCACTTTCCTTACATATTATCGTTATTTCCAATTTAGACATATTTATTCATTGTAGTTGCGAGCTCTGCTACTCTCGGTCATCTTCAAAGCTGAGATTCGACCATTCCTATGATTTCCGTATAGTACTGGGAACATGGGTTAGACGTATTGATGAGATACCATTCTCAATTCTTCAGGTGACAATGCTACCGATCATCTGAGGCTGGTGAATTTGTGCAGGACAGTATTTCATCTTTTCGCTCCTAGTCAGAGGTCTCCATCGGACAGCTCCCAGGCTCCCAATGAGCCGCTATTCAACATTTCCTCTGATGGAATGTTCATATGTAAATTATGGGACGGTGTCTATCGACAGACTTTCATTTTAGAGCTTCTGAAATTTTTCAATCAAGTGCGGGTCTTCAAGCCTAAATCAAGCAGAGATTCCAGTGCTGAATTGTATTTGATATGTGCCTGTAAAGATAAAGAATTGTGAATGAAATCCTTTTGTATTGGAGTTCCATTGTGTCATCTGTCAAAAGTTACCTATTGTTGTGTGATTTCCCTGAATGTTATCGGCACTGCACCTCATGTACTACTTAAGGTCGCAGCTTTAATGCCGTGGAGGCATGCAGTAAAGGTATGTGTACTTGTTACTTCACATTTTTCCCATTACTTACTTCATTTTGATGTGTTTAGGTTGCTCTTGCGGCTGGCGAAGCAGTGGCGAAGGCGCTTTCGAGAGCAATCAAGCAGGAGCTCCAACGTGGGTTTTAATTACCTCAAAGTGATGTGGCTTTCACGTCCTCCCTTCTTCTATACTATTCTCGCGGCGATCAAGGCGATCCGGACGGCGGGGGGGGGGGGGGGGTTCACCAGTGACTGATGGTCGGGGTCGCTACATACAGCGCATGATCTATAACCCAAAGGCTAATGCTAGGGTTTGGCGCCTTGGAGGCGCTTAAACGTACATTCTTTGCGACACCCCTTATCACGAGTAACCTGACTACAACTTCTACATTGCCTATTTTGTAGTTCGTGTTTGGTACGACTTTGCATTTCCACCAAATGTTTCGTTATTCCTCCCAAATTCCACGGCTTGAACCTTCCTTCATAGTGCGATATCTTTATTGGGTACTTGAACACTTTAGCCATTAATTCCAAGGGGCGGCTACCGAGGACGTGATATGACTGTCGATTGATCGATTGACGACGTCCAATAAACACTGATCACTACGAAGTATGGATAAGCTTGATCCTTCTAGTTTTATATTTAGAAAGTCAGCAAGCAGCAGCTCGACATAGTGCCAAAACTGGCCAGTCTGCTAGCGAGACTCGAGATAACGCTAACGCCAATGCCAGACTCGGAATTAGTTTAGAGGTATCGTTTTTTACTATTTTGAGATGCTGCAATACAAATTGCGCATGCAGTGATATAAGGAGGATGACTGTAGCAGACTGTCTGTCACCTTGACAATATTAACTTTTTAGGAATCCTTACAAATTCTAAATGTCAAGCCGCCTATTGATCCAAAAGAAGTCGAACAGAAATACGAGCATTTGTTTTCGATCAACGATAAGGCTAAAGGAGGGTCTTTCTATTTGCAATCAAAGGTCTGGTATCTTACTTTGATGTCCTCTTTCGATATTGATCGGTGATGCGTGAGCTCATGTTTTATCTAGATGATTACCGCTTCTATAGGTTTATCGAGCTAAAGAAAGGATAGATGAGGAGCTTCGGAGGCAATCTGAACAGCGATCAAATAAAGAGGAAAAACAACAGGTGGAAAGCGAAAAATAATCATCGATTGTTGTGAAGATTTTGTTTTGAAGAAACTCCTCTTTCTTCGTATAGTAGCTGCGAATTCGTTCCTCATAGGATGTTAGAAATTTGTTCATATATAGAGAAAGATTGCTGTACAGGCGTTATTTTATAAAGCATAGGAGTCTAGGCATTACTCGTTACCTTTTGTCGTTGATTGCTCAAAGTATTTACTTTGTTCTTATCGATAAAAATGAATAACTACTTGCGAATAGGTTGTAGATTGTTTGTCGGCCTTTATGGCCAATTGTTTACCTTTGGCGATGACATTTTTTCAATATTATTTGAATCGTTCACTCTACAAAATCTTCTTATTAATTCAGGCGGATGAGAGGTAAAGGAATAGATTTATTGAAAGATTTATTAGCAAGCGATGAGGCGCCATCTGAAAGTGAAGCTCTACCGTTGACTAAAAAGATGAGCGAGATACTACTGTATAATAAAAAATGTTAGTTTCATTTCGACTTTTAGCAGTTTTTTTCGAAAGCTAATTACGCTGTCGTAGATTTTATAACCACCATCATTGTTGTGTAACCACTTGAAATGGTTTTCCTTTTTATGCGATCAAGTATTTTCTGATTAGGGGAGTTGGTTATTACGTATCTGATATGTCGATGATGCACCGAGTCGTATTATGGTGGTTATTGTCAAGATTGGAAAGGGAACGGTAGGGGTGGTAACACATACCGATCTGTGAAATGTGCTCCTCAGCTTCAGTCGCTGAAAAACGGTGAATAAAGACCTATTTATGCGCAAGGCTTACAACCTAATGGTTCGGGGGGAGATAACCTTTTCCCGAGATGTTTAGATGTATTATAAGTCTTAGCGATTGATAATCATTTTTGCAGGGACTATCACCTATCATATAAGATTCTGTTTCGTGTTTTAGGGTCGCCTGAAATTTGCTCCGAACGTGTGGCAACATGTATTTTGGTATTGTTGACTGACGCAGCACGGGAGAATTGGCCCGTGGATTTGTTAAGGGAAGTGATGGATTCCGATCATCCGCTCTGTAACGCCATAGCTGAGGTCCACGAAGTTAGTATCCCCATTCAAGTCTACCGTTTTCACTTCTTCTTTGTCTCTTATTATTAATTAATTTAATTTTTTTCAACTTTTTTTAAATTTAATTTTTTAATATTTGTTATTTTTTAATATTTATTTATTTATTTAATTTTTTTAATTTCAATTTTTTTCTCTTATAATTCTCTTTGCAAGACAGCGTAAGCTTGTGTTCTGTGGTAGGCCAAAACC